AAATGGGCATCGCACCCAACTGTCACTTTGAAAATACGCGAAGCTGTCAAATCATCTTACGTTATAAATGTTGGCGTCAGATCGAAATCTCCAGCTTTACAAAGCTTAGACACACCTGACGCGGAGTCCCCTGTGGGTCATCGCCTCGATAGTTGCATTCCTCCTCAGCTTTATAAAGGTTTAGACATCTCCCAACGCGTCGTCCCCTGTGGGTCAACGCACTGTGGCAGATGAGCTCCTCACTCAGCTTTACAAACCTTAGACGTGGAGTTCCCTGTGGGCCATCACCTCGGTAGTTGAGTTCCTCATAAGCTTTACAAAAGTTTAGCCATCTACCAAAGCGTCGTCCCCTATGGGTCAGCGCACCAATGGCAAATGAGCTCTTCACTCAATTTTACAAAGCTTAGACGCACCTGACGCGGAGTCCCCTGTGGGTCATCGTCTTGATAGCTGCATTTCTTCCTAAGCTTTACAAAGCTTTAGCCATCTTCCGCATCAATCGCAAATGAGCTCCTCAGGCAGCTTACAAAGCTTAATGCTCCCGATGCGGATTCTCCTGTGTCACCGCCTCGATCATGCGTTCTCTCGAAAACTTACAAAGCTTTAGCGTCTCCCAACGTATCATCCCTCTGGGACAGTGTCTCACTTACGAATGAGCTCCTTCCTTAGTCGATAACGTGTCCCAATCTCCAGCTTCACAAACTTCAGCATCTCCCACGATCGTCTCTGTAGGTCAATGCCTTGGTCAGATAAGTGTCCCGATCCTAAGCTTCACAAGGCTTTGGCCTTTTCACAACGCCATCTCTTCGGTGAACATAAAAATTGATCCACAAGCTTTCGGGCCATCTACACACTTCATCCTTCCAAGCGAGTTCTCTATCACAAACCAAGGCATGCATACTCAATCGGGAAAATAAGTCCACCCATATTATAAATATTCATACCTGAACTTGGAAGACCATCGTTACGCCTCTATCTGAACCACTTCGAAAAGATTACCACTGCATCATACGAGGTGTTCACCACCAATCCAAAGTGGTTCCAAAGTGACTCCACCACCGACGTTCGCATGCTGTGAGGCACAAAATAATTCTACTGAACCGACCAAAGTGTCCTCGATGCCGAAGCGCAATGCACTCCGAGGTTCTCCTTTAGCAGATCCGCTGCCACTTTTAGAAAGAGATCTGTATCAAGATCCTCTCTACTCCCAAGGCTTAATTGATTTGACATCTCCAAGGGTCTAGTTGGTAAGTCGTATCAACTTTATGTCAATCCAACTCAGGAAGTTATTACCGACCCACTCTATAGACACAACTGATTGACGCCTATGAACAGACACCTCACACCGTCAGATGCATACACGTGTCCCACATCCACGGTCCTCCTCACCTATAAATACCCAAGGTTTAACAAGAGGCAAAGGGATGACACACTTACAACTTAGCTCTCCAAAACAAGAAAATATATATATTTTCCTTCCCACTCTCTTGCACAACCAGAGCACTGTTGCGATCACCGGATACTAACTTGATCATCGGAGTGCATGCGGCCGCTACTACCCCCGCTGGTTCCGGCCGTGTGTGTCTGACCGTACGTTGATTGTGCATAGAGAGGATCATGTGGAGTAGCTATCGATTGGCCACCTATGAGGTCCAATTCGCGAGGTCAACATACTTTATACCTTTCTATTGAACCATCTGATATATATTTGATTTTATATATCCACCGGCATCCCATTGAATGTTTTCCCTGGGGTAAAGTGACAATAGACCATGTATTATTTAGCTCCATAGCTTCCATCTCAAGTTTCATAGCTTCACGACACTGTGGGTATTTGATAGCTTGATGAAAGAATTATGGCTCATATTGAGATGAAACATTCAAGACAAATTGTTTGTGTGAGGCGGATAAGTTTGCATAGGATATGAAGTTTCCTATGTGATGGGGTGATTTAATGTTGGTCAAGTTGCAGTGAAAATCCTTGAGGTAAGTTGGAGGTTTGATAGTCCTTTGTGATTTTCGAATGTTGGCTGTTGTGACTGGTATAGTATCCAAAAGATGTCCATTATAATAATCACGTGCATCATCATTCACTATATGATCAATTGGCTACGACTACTTTATTTGATGACCAGGCGCATTGGTATAAGCATCTTGAGGAGTAGTTTGTATTGGTATAGGCAATACCAGATAAGGAAATAGGTCGATCAGTTGGTCTTTATCTATCACCGTATGGAATGGATAAATTTCTTCATGGAAAATAACATCTCGTGATATAAAATTTGCTTTGTAACAACATCATATAATTTGTAACCTTTGACCACAGATGGATATCCCAAAAATACACACATTTTGGCTCGAGGCTGGAATTTGTTTCTATGAGTAGTTAAGGAGGATGCAAAGGCCAAACATCGAAAAACTCTGAGATATGAGTAGTGTGCAGCTTTCTTGTATAGGATTTCATACGTAGTTCTGTGTTTCAATAGGGGTGAGGGGTTCTATTGATTAGAAATTTGGATGTCAAGACACAATCTGTCCAAAATTCTATTAGAACACGAGACTGAAAAAATAGAGCTCTTGCCACATTTAGAAGATGTTGATGCTTGTGCTCTACCACTGAATTTTGTCGTGGTCTTTCAACACAACTAAATTAATGTAGTACTCCATTTTCAGCAAAGTACTCAGTGAAAGTAAGTTCTTGAGCATTGTCCGACCTGAATTTCTTGATTTTAGCATCGAATTGAGTTGCTACCATATTAAAGAACTTTGGAATAACATTCGCTGCATCTGATTTGTTCCTCAACAGATAAACCCATGTGAATCTAGAACAATCATCTACCATTAAAAAATATCTATGTCTATTGTAAGAGGGAACATGATAAGGTCCCCAAATGTTACAATGCACTAGATGAAATGGAGAATCTGAAAGATGGTTATTTGAATCAAATGGTAGCCTTCTTTGTTTAGCTAGAGGACAAATGTAACAAGGAATATTCTAATTGAATTTGCCAACATCATAGAACAATTGACCTTTTATACTATAATCTTTTAAAAGAAATGCGGCCAAGTCTATTATGCCAAACATGGATAGAAACATTATTTACATATGTATTTGAGACTGAATTCAAAATATTTGTATCAAGTACATAAAGGTCTTGCACTCAATCACCCCTGTCAGTCATCTTCCTGGTATTGGTTTCCTGAATGATGAAGCGATCAGGAAAAAAACGTAAGTTGTGAGTCATATGTCAAAGCGCCAACAGATAACAAGTTGAACTTGAATTGTGGTACAAACAGAGCATTTCGAAGCACAATAGTTGAGTTTAATTTGATGTCACCACACATTTTTACTGGAATTTGTGTGTGATATGGTAAAATAACAGTTGAATTTTCAATTGTTCTCATTGTCATGAAGACAGTAGCAATAGAGCATATGTGGTTGGTAGCACCAGAATCTACTATCCAAATATTACTGGATGAAAAAAAAAAAAGGATGTGTAGATACTGATGAACATATACCTGCAGTATAAGATGCATTAGGATTGTCCTGTTGATCAGCAGTGTTTGAACTCGATGTCAGGTGAGTGGACAGCATAGACACGAGTTGCTGATATTGGTTTGAATTCAAGTTGTGAACAAAGTTTCCAAGTCCAGATTGCTGATTGAGTGGTTTGTCTTCATTCTGAGAAGCAAATGCAGAAGAAATCTGATTAACATGATGTATTTTGAAAACCTTCCCTTTGTTTTAATTTATAACCCGGTGGATATCCATGTAACTTGTAGCATTTGTCAATGGAATGACCATGAATGTTACAACAAGTACAGAATGATCTCTCCTTTTTCTTGATATTCCCAGTCCTTGAATTGCCGATATGACTTCCAGAGTTACCAACTCCTCTATTGTTTTCAGCTTTGGAAGCAAAAGCCATAGCTCCACTTGAATAAGTTCCTGGCATGCTTATCTTCCTTTGATGTTCTTCTTGAGATATCAAGGCGAAAACCTTGTTAATAGGAGGCATTGGATCCATGAGCAAGATTTGCCCTCTGACTTGAGAGAATGAATCTTGTAGCCCCATAAGGAATTACAGCCATTTGATAGTGATTGTTTAATTCCATTGTACCTTCACAAGTACACTTCCCACATGTGCAAGTAGGTCGATAGTTACTTAACTCTTCCCAAACCGTCTTAAGTTTTGTAAAGTAAGTACTGACGTTATCTTGATTTTGAACAAGATTCATCAATTCCCTACGTAATTGAAAAATTCATGGTCCATTTTTCTATTGAAATCTCTCATTGGGATCCATCCATATTTCATAAGCCGAAGTAGTGTATATCACACTGGCTGAAATTTCCTTTGATATGGAGTTCAAATCCATGAAATCACTATGTTATTGTTCCTAATCCATGCATTTAGCAAATCAGAATCATTATCTTCAGGCTTCTTTACGGATCCATCAATGAAACCAAGTTTGTTCTTCATTGACAAGGCAATCATCATAGCACGACTCCAAGAGGCATAGTTATCTCCTGATAGTTGCTGAGATACCAGTATTAAGCCTGGACTATTAGAATGATGAAGAAAGTATGGACTAGCAGGATCATCAATGGTTGATTTACTCGAGCTTGATCTCGCATCAAGTTGATTTACAGATTGTGCCATATCCATTTGATGATTGAAACAAATATCACAACAATCAGATTAGCTGGTTATTTTATGAAGGATTGAAAAGACTTAATGAAGATGAAGAAAAAAATCAATGCAGGAGTCTCACCTGCTCTGATACCATGTTGAGTGTTAAAATGAAGAGAAAATGAAGTAGTGGAGAAAGAAGATTTTCATTATTTCTGTAAACTGAGTGACAAGTTCAGCTGCTATAAATGGTGTCAATTATAGCTTCGTGACAGCTGGATAACAAACTAACTACTAACTACCAAGAAATAGTTACAAACTGAAAGTAACCAAATTACAAAGAATTACAAACTGCAACTGACTTAATAGAGCCAATCACAAGCGAAGAATGAGGATGCCTCCGGGAAGAAGAAGAACAGGAGAAAACTACCAGCCCCAAGTGAGCTTGTGGCGCATTACGAGAAGCAGGGCATGGACACTCAAGAAGCCTCTTTCAAAGTCATTCAAAATTTGTAGAATGTCGTTTTCAAAATGATCACTACCACCCAAAGCAAGAAAAAGGGTGACTCTGCTTCAGATATTACCTCCAAAAAGCTCGACGTCATCAACTCCTGGTTGCTTCAACTGGAATTGAAGCTGGACTCCAGACCGGGATATTCCCAGGCCGTAGGCATTGGCGTGGCATATGTTGGAATTTGGAATGCCGCTGTCCAAATTTGGAATTATGTTTCCCAGGCTACTTTGTCTTCTTCCAATGCCTGATTAACTAACATCTGCATTTATCGATTAGCCTTTACATTTTTTGTCTAGTCTCCATAGAATATCTGCATACTCCTTAGTTCTACGACATTCCTTTATTGTTTCTTTTGGTTGAGTTTCATTCACCCAGTTTTTGTACTGTGAATTTCTAGTATCATAACTCATCAATTGAAATACGAGTAAAACTCGTAGCGTTGGCTTTTTTGTCCATTAAAAAAAATCAAAATCTTAATAATATTCTTAAGAATAGAGATAGTATAAAAAAACACATGGAATAAAGAAAGCAATATTTTCCAAAAAAAAAAAAAAAACAATCGAATTTAAGTAACATACCTAACAACTCCACATTGATACAAATTTTACTGCAACAAACGAAACTTCAAAATTTCTCCACTTGAAAAAAAGAACTGCTTGCAAGGAATGAACTGAACTTTTCAACAAAAACCAAACTAACTTCTCCAACAACCAAAAATTCTTCACCTCTTCCACAATATCTAACTAGGATAAATGAATCCAAATACTGTTTTGCGGAATTACCTTGTGTTTAAGTGTTTAACCAAAAATCACAAATGATTTAAAATTTAGTAAACAAGGCCTAAGCACTCCCTGAAACAGAATCAATACTAAATGCTTTTGTCAAATGCTCCTTGCCAGATTCAACACATTCAAATACATTTAAAGCATGCGCAACAAAATCAACATTCCCGTAACCTATCTTCACTGGGTCTCTCCCTAGCAATTAAATACGATGGTACAATAGATGGTGGAAAGCAGCATTACCTATATCCTCCGAACTCAACTAAGTTGTATTCTTCAACATGGACCTTAAACCAAATAACAATGGCACTGTACCAAACTGAATATCCACAACGACACTAAACCATTACTGATTGTTCTTTGGATTCTGTACAATCTTACAAGATGTATAACTATGAACTTTTTCTATCCATCTAATACAACATGGACACCTTTGCAAATCCTTAAAACCTCACCTCCACCGAAGAACTTGCACCCTTTTGAATCAAATGTACTCAACAAGATGAGATTTTTTTTTTCAAATCTGGAACATATCGAACATGATCAAGTGTTTAAACTATCGCATCCACCAACTTAAGTTGAACTCTACCAATAATAGCTACTTGACAAGGTGCGTTGTTTTCTATAACCACGACACCTATCGAAACTGTTTCATATGTTGAAACAAATCTTGATAGAGACATATATGAATACACAACTTGTATCCAATATCTAATCCTCGTCAGGTTTGGACTCGCCATCAAAAATAGCCAACACATCCCATCACTCAAGTAGTTCTCTGCAACATCGACTTTACCTGTAGTTTCTGATTGCTTTCCCTTCTGATTTTTAACCAATTTCCTTTATTCTACAGTTTGATATAATCTCTCTTGATATGCCATTTCTTCTTACAATAAAAGAATAGATTTGATTACTAGAATTAGATTTCGACCTGTCCCTTCCACGACCACCATAAAAAAATAAGACCCTCTTCATCTCTAGCTTTAGATTCAATCAGATACTTTATCTTCTTCTTTATAAACAAAAAATCATACGCATCATCAATGGTGTGAGTATTACGACTATATAAAATCGTATCTCTAAACAATTTAAACTAAGCGGGCAACAAAGACAAGACAAAAAAATAAATAAATAAGTAGTAATAATAATAATAATAATAATAATAATAATAATAATTAAAGCCAAATATTCTTTATACTACTTTACCACTAAAGTCTCCAAACAGCCATGTGATCTTTTAACGATTCCCCTTTTATCATGTCATGAGAATACAAATATTGTTTTATGTATAATTTACTGGTTAGATTCTTAGTCAAGTACAATTGCTCAAATTTCAACCATAACGTAGATGTCATTTTCTCTTTCAAAACATCCGGAAGAATGTTATTCAAATATGAAAATGAATTTGTGAAAATGTCTTATCATTGTTACAATGTTTCTCCTTCGTCAACCAAGTTGATGGCATCTTATAAAATCTCAACAACGCATCATCCAAATACATATGTGAAGAGTACAGCTTGAGTCTCCACATGCCATAACAAGAATCTACTACTGCGATCTAAAAGCAAAATATCGTACTTCATGGTTACCATCAAGTAGGGATGTCAAAAGGGTCGAGCCGCTCGACAGCTCGACTCGTGGAAATGGGGCTAGTGGGCTGCTCGAGCTCGTAAAATCACGAGCCCGAGCACGAGTCGAGCGGCACTGCCAGGAGACGAGCCGAGCCAGCTTAGCTACCCTAAAAGGCGCCCACGAGCGGCTCGTTTGAACGAGCCACCAAAGGTAAAGTGACTTTGGTGTTTCGGCCACTGAAATAATTTCTTTTAAATTCCCCCCCCCCCTCCCTTCTACTATAAATATCCCTTCCCCCAAAGATTTTTTCCATGTCAATTGCTACTCGAAGTCTCCAACTCTCTCAACTCTCTTTTATTATATCAATTATCGAGTTTTTACTCTCTTGTGCTGAAAAATATACAATATTAATTCAATTTTTACAGTTTATTAGTTACAATTTCAATTCATCCAATTCTCAATTCTCACAATCTCATTACATTTATATTCTTCTAGTTAAGATTTTATAATAAACAATCAAACAAATGGATCAACGTTTATTTGTTGAAAGCTTGTTCGATACAGGATGTGGGCCACATCATGGCGAATCACCTTGGACACCGCAAAGTCAATTTTCAAATGAATTTGCCGGTCTAAATGACCTATCGATACCTGAAAATATTCACATTCACGGTCAGGGAAGCCACAATCCAATTGATTTGGATAATATTAACATTCCCGAAGCGAAACATGAGGATGAAGATGCTGAATTAAACATCCCAGATGTGAGGGGAAAGCGAAAGGCCAAAAAATAAGCAAAATGTTGGGATTACTTTAAGTTGATTTCAACAAAAAAAGTCGTCGATGACCTTGCAGAATTTAAAGCAGTATGTAAATACTGCTAACAAAGATTGGCATGACAAAAAGGAATTGGTACCACCCATCTCAACTGCCATTACAAAGCATATGTGGCCAGACATGGACTTCTTCCAGTTGGTCAAACACAATTACAATTTGGCAGTCTAGGCGTTGGTTTTACAACTTCGCCCCTATCCATGTGGGTGTATTCGGAGAACAATACTCGAGCCAAAATGGTGAAATTTGTTGCCGCCACTGAGTTGCCTCTAACTATTACAGACAACCAACAATTTGTCTCGTTCATGAAAGAATATCTATAACTGAGGTACGTTGGGTTAAGTCGAAATACTCTTCGTGCCGATACAATAAATTATTTCAATAATTCAAAATAACAATTAATTATGAATTTGCAGCAATATGATGGTGTTATATCTTTTACGTCTTATATATGGGAAGGGGTTAATAAAAGCATATATAGCTGCAATCGCACATTATAAAGATCAATTTTGGTGCATGCATAAGAAAATTATTACTTTTAGAATTATTGAGTTTCCTCACAATACTAATAATATATATAATACTATTATCAGTATTGTTAGAGAATATCATTACGAGACTAAAATTCGATCTTTTACTTTTGATAATGCTAATGTTAATAAGGTAGTCGTCGATAAATTGTGTAGGACACTTCAACGGGATTTTGTTGGGTATTTGTTTCATATTCGTTCTATATGTCATATCTTGAATTTAATTGTACAAGAAGTTTAAAACATATAAATGATGAACTTTAAACGATTAGGAATGCATTAGTATATATTACGATCTGTCCTAGTAGAACACTAGCATTTGAAGATTCTGTGCCGAACTAGGAGTGACGACTGCTAAAATATTTGTTAGCGACGTATGCCATAGATGAAACTCTACTTACTTGCTATTAAAGTCATGTGAAGGTTTTGAAAATTTAATAACTGACTTTTATAACAATAGACACGTTAGAAGTGATGACGATGGTATGTTAAATGAATCCGATTGGATTTTAGTTTTGAAAGTTAAACGATTTTTGACATCTTTTTATGAGACCACAAAGATTTTATCCGGCGTTTATTATCCTACAAGTTGTATGGTGCTTGAATGCCTTTATATAATTGCAAGAACATTCCATAAATATAAAAATGACCCTGCTTTTAGTGAAATTATAATTGCTATGGAATTAAAGTTTAGAAAATATTGAGAAGATCTGTCTATGTTATTTCCTTTAGCATACGCAATAGACCTCCGATATAATATTCGAGAACTAAATACGTAATTGATCAAATCAATAAAGTTTTAATACTTGATACACCTATCACCTATAAGAATTTAGAGCAAACATTATGTGGAATGTATGATTTATATGCGAAAAAAATGGGTGCGAATGTTAGTCGGGTACCCTCTGCACCTACTTCTTTTGCTGAAATTGAAGAAGATGATGCGGAAATAATGAATTTATTTCAAGGCATTAATACATTTAGATATGATGCAACTACAATGTGCTCATCTAGTGTTATGTCGTCTACATTTGCATCTCATCAAACATCGGTCGAAACTCAAAATGCGATGCCTGCCGAATTAATTGATTACTTCAATCATAATATACCAACAGAGAGAACAATTAAAAAAAAGTTCAGAAGAAATAATTGAATTCTGGCAAAAGTTTGAAAGACGTTGGCCAATTATTTTTGCAATTGATAAAAATCTGCTGACACATCCGATTAGCACTGTTGCTTCAGAGTCTGCTTTTAGTGTAAGTAAA